TTTTGCTGTACCAAATGCAATATATTTCTTCAACCTTTTTTTTTTTCCTACCACTCTCCCATGAACTCCTAAGCTGGCAATGTCTTTGGAGCTATGAGCTTTAACACTCATAGCTATGTTTCTTCCCTGGGCTTCATTTCCAACAATGACTTTATAACACGTGGAAGACATCAGGAGGTTTTGTTCTTTCCATTTTGTGGATAGGAGACTGATCCCCAATGACCAATGGATTTTCCTGAGTCACTAAATAACCCACAGCCTAAGAAACCAGATCAAGACTACCAGATTCCACAGAGTAGGGATGGCAAATCATTTTCACCAACCCTGACACTATTGGTTGATTGGTCATGGCTGTCTTGGATCCTCCATGCAGAGGCCTGATAGCTGTCTGGGTCTCTGTGATGAACTAGCAGTGTCTGCCAGGGGATGGGTCTGGAGCATGTGTCATGCAAACTGCCACAGAAGTAGAGGGTGTGTCCAAACACTATGAGAAGGGAAGGAGCATTAATAATAATTGTGCTGAGACAATAGGCATAAACTGGAATTGTTCCAGGCAGAAGGAAGGTATGGCCATACAGGGCATAGAGGATAATACAGTAGAAGAGAGGATCAAGGCCCAGAAGTCTTATGGGACTAGACCAAGGTTGCACACCTGGTAAATACAGAGCTGGCTTTGGACTCCATTTATCTTCTGTCATAGCTCAAGGCTACCACTAACCTGCTATGCAATCTTGGGTAAGTCCCCTGTGTCTCTGGGTCTTAAATTCCTCTCTATAAAATGAGAAGTTGTACTTAAGAACTTCTAATGATTTTGCCCATAAAATTCTCTGCTCTCTACCCACAGCTGTTTTGAAACATCTAGTGAAAGCCAGCCATGCAGCATCTGCTCCCTTCCATCTTCTGCCCTCCTGGGGAGAAGGTCAGTTTCTTACTGTGCTCTGGCTATCATAACAAAACACCACACACTGGATGGCTTACACAGAAGAAATTTATTTCTCACAGTTCTGGAGTCTGAAAGTCTCTGGTGAAGGTCTGTCAGGGTTCAGATTCTGGTAAGGACTCTCTCCCTGGCTTGCAGATGGCCACCTTCTCACTGCGTCCTCACGTGGCCTTTCCTCTGAGTGTGAGCAGGGAGAGAGAGAGAGAAGAATGAGAGTGAACTCTCTGGTGTGTCTTATAAAGACACTAATCCTATTGGCTCAGGGCCCCACCCTTATGACTTAATTTAACCTTAGTTACTTCCCCATAGGCCCAATCTCCATACAGTCACAATGGGGGTTAGGACTTCAACATATGAATTTAGGGGGAACACAATTCAGTCCATAGCAGGCTGACACAGGGACAGGATGGCCTAAGTTTAGCAGGATTTTGAGGGGCATCAGAGTAGACACATCTGCTTGTGGACATTTGGTTGTGGCTTTCTCAGGGCCGGAGCAGTGGGGCTGTCCTTGGTGGATGTGACTCTGGCACATTTCAGTAGATGAGCCATGTTGCTCCAGCACCTCCCATCTGGCCTCACCTGGACCTGAGGAGCTGTGTCTCAGCCAGCCTAACCAAGGGCCTGGGGAGAAAACCAGCTTGGGTATGTTTCAGAGGGAACAGGTGACCAGGTTAGCAGGCCTCCTAGGCTGGGCTGGGGCAGCAGGGAAAGCAGAACTGAGCCCTGCTCAGAAGCTTACAAACCCTGGGCTTTGTAGCCACTGTCTGGGGTTATATCCTGCCTCTTGTACTTACTAGCTATGACATCTTACACAAGTAACTTAACCTCTGTCCCTAAGGATATAAGTTGGGAATTGCTTCAGCTGCTACTAACAGAGATCTTCACAACCTCTTAAGCAACAGAGACATTTATTTCTTTCTCACACACTTTCCATTATTCTGCTTTGCCATCCTTAGCACATGGATTCCACCACCAATGTTGCCTCATGGTCCAAGCTGACTGCACATGCTGTAGCCATCACATCTTCATTCTAGGCAGCAAGAGTGAGGGTAAAAAGGGCACATATATTTTACAGAGCTTTTCCAGATGTCTCCCTTTTAAAAGCTTTTTAAGAAGTCCCACCCAACATTTTCCTCTTACATCTCATTGTGTGGAACTTATTCACAAGAGTACCCCTTGCAAAGAAGGCTGGGAAATGTAGTCTCAGCTTGGCACATTACTGCCCTAAATAATACTTGGGTTCTGTTCCTAAGTAAAAAGGTAGAATGGATATTGGGTAGGCAACTTGCAATTTCTCTCACACTCAGTTTTTCCATTTGTAAATTGGGGATTATAATAATACCTACTCATAGGGCTATTGTGTTGTCTAGTACCCAGTAAGGACTCAATATACGTTAGCTAAATTACTGGCCATCGAGAGAGTGGAGTGTAAGAGGCAAATACTATTGGCATTACTATGTAAAATAGAACACACTTTGAGAACTGCTGCCTTAGAAAATCATGTAATTCTCAGGCAGGCCTGCTAACCAAGCTCCAGTATGACACCCAAGGATACACAGCCGTCTGTTTGCCTTTATGATGTTTGGATAATTGTTGTTAACAGACATGACTTGGTTTTTATTTTTTGAAGATCTAACATAATCTGTAATGCTCTTTTCTGTGCATGTCTTTGTTTTTGCCCATCTCTCCTCTAGAAATGTAAGCCCCATGAGGGCTTGCCAGCTTTACTCACTGCTCTGCCCCAGTGCTTGACACCCAGAAGGAGATCCATAGATGTAAGCTTGACAGTGTTGAACTTTACCCATGTCCTGTGCTCCTGGAAAACAGTGAAGGTCAAGAACCTCTCCCCGCCCCTCCTTTTGGGTTCTGGAAAATGACTTATTACAAAGAACCACTCTTCCTTCTCCATATGACTTAGATAAGACTCATGGATGCCTCCCTTGTATACCTATGACAAGGCCAGACACAGGCCGTCCAAATTCCCTTTCTTTGCCTTGTAAATGATTAGCTGAGCCTCTTGTCCCCACTGATCAATTGGAACAAAATTCTTGTTAGCCAAACTTCCACGAAGCATCTCTCCTTCGTCCAGGCTCCTGAATGAACTTTGGCCCACCCTTGGCCTGAGCCAAATACAGTCCATCTTGAGAACAGGCTGGCCTCAGGGAGAACGTTCTTGGATTTACGATCCAATCCTGCCACCTTTCATCCCACTTCCCCACACCTGGTTCTTTCCAGCCTCGTTTACTCCTCTCCACAAAAGACAAACTCTTCCTGCTAAACTCTTGAGACGTTTGCAGACCTTCTACTCAGAGCCTTCTCCCCATTGCAATAGTCCTCCTCCCGCTATTGCACGAGTCCCTTTCTCTCCTTGCAATCATCCTTTTGAATAAAGTCTCTCCCAAGTTTAGATTTGTTTTTTATTGAACATGCTGAATGAAAGAAATAACTGTAAGTGATCAGAGAGCCATTATATGAATTCAGCTTTGTAGATTCCATTCAGACTCCTCTCCCCATTAATCACACTTCTAAATTCTGACTCCCAGACTTGCCAAATCCACCAGGCTATGGCAGCACTTTGGGCCAAAAGCACAGCTGTGACTGACAGCTGGGCCTTTGGAGTCAGACACATGAGGATTTGGATTTTGGTGCTGCCATTTCCCTCCTGTGTACTCCAGGTCAGGTCACTTAAAGTCTCTCCTATTGAACCACTATTTAATGTGCATCTAAGTGTCCACACTGAGTTGGGCATTGGGAGTGGTAAGCAAAGCAGACTTAGAGACCATCATCATGGGCAGGAGGATTCTGGCAATAAAACAAGTTAACTAGGAAGTGCAATGAAGACACAGACTGATCTGACAGAGCACAGAGGGAGCACCTACAGGGTGGACAGGGAAGGCCCCACTGAGAAGGTGACTTATCTGAGGCCTGAGGGTCAGAAAGTCCAATCATGCCAGCAGTGAGAGAAGGACGTTCCTCTGAAGGGCCAGAGGTGGGAGATCCGGGTGTTTAAAGGCCAGGAAAAAGCGGAGTGTGGCTGCAAGGAATGGGTAGAATGGTAGAGAATGCGTTGGAGCCCTCACACCATCCTGGGCTTTGTCTGCCAACATAAAAAATGTGACTTCTCTTCTAAGTGGGATGGAAAAGCATAAAAGGCATTGCGGAGATCTTACTGGTTTAATCCTTTTGCTTTGTTTAATTTGATTGGTAGTGAGGTCTAATTTTTCTCCCCTGTTAATCATTTGTACTCTCCGGTAAATTGTCTGCTCATGCTCTCCACCCATTTATCTACTGGAGTCTCAACGTCTTTCTTATTCATTTGACGAGGTCTCCCTCAATTAAGGATTTTAATCTTTTATGGTGTTTGTTGCATTTATTTCCCCCAGATAACTGTTTGCTTTTTAATTTTGGTTTTCTTTTTTGGGTTGAAGTTTTAAACGTTTGTGCTTTAGTGTGTGAGAGAGTTCATCCATCACTTTTTAAGCTTAAGGAGTCCTCCGCCATCGACATTTGATCGATTCTGTTTTTTTGGCTCGCGTTGTTTTACGTCGGTGGACTTCTGTTTTATCCTCGTGGGCGGCGCGGGGCGGAGCAAACTCCTCCCGCGGTCCGGGCCGGCAAAAGCTCAGGACGCAGAGATCCCTCGCCCACCTGGGCGGAGCCAGAGGGGGCCCTTCGCCGCCGGCGGCCTCAGAGGTGACACCCACCCTACTGGGAATCCGCCTCCTCGTTACAGACCTTTGTCGCACAGGGCGAGGCCAAAGTCCTCTTCTACGGGAGAGAAAGCTGAGGCTCAGCACAAAGCTGGGAGGGAGGCGTTAAAGTGTTTTACAGAGGCAAAAACTAAAGCCAGGACCAGCCCGAGCAGCCGTGCAGGTAGGCGGACGGACGGGTCCACGGTCAGGGCAGAGAGCTGGGCACGGTCCCCGCCCCGCGCTCCCTACCGGTTGTGTGCTGACCTCTCAGCACTGCCAGGCCCGTTCCAGTGACCGCCCACTGCTGATTTCATTGGCTGCCTCGCCGTCCCCGCCCCCCGCAGACCTGCTGATTTTCGCAGCCAATCGGCAGGCGCAGCGGCGGCGGCGGCGGTTCCTGGGCGCTGAGGTACCGGGGTCTGCAGGGGGAGGCCGCGGTCCTGGTTGCGGGCCCCGCGGGCTCTTTCCGGCGCCGCAGGTTAGCCCCACTTGTCGGCTCGGGGGCGAGCCGCCACTCCCGGGTCTTCCAGGTTACCCTTCTGCGGCTGGAGGGGCGGCGACGGCGACCGTTGAGGGCTGGCCCGAGATTGCTGGGGTTGGAGGTCAGGGGTCGCAGGTCGTGCCTTTGTGAATGTTGCCTGCCCTCGGTCTAAGCATAGAGGCGGGCCGCTCCCCGGTTTTATTGTCAGTTCCTGTTTGAGGACTCCCTTTCACGGAAGGGACTCTGAGGGAAACTGAGGCCTGGGAGCCGCCGGGGCCCCTTGCGGGCCCAGAGCTCGGAGGGGAAGGTTCGGGCCGCTGCGGGTGGCCCTCGGGCACCGAGGGCAGCCGGCCTCCCTCCTCCGGGCCCGCGGGGGCTCTGGAGTGCGGGCCGAGGGGGGAGGAGGGTGTCAGGGCGGCGGCCTCCGAGGGCGGGGGTGGGGTCGCCCTGGGACCACTCCCCTGGGGCTTCCAAGGGACCCGAGGCCAACTCTTTTTGAGGCTGTCATTCCCCGTGTTTGAGATTTCGTTTCTGGAATCTCATTGGAACAGTTCGGAGAGGGGAAAGCGCGTATCGTGGCTTTTGCACTTGTCTAGGAGTGAAAATCAGTACCAGACGTGGGATGTAATGATGGCAAAGGGACCTGGGAGAAACCGGACAAATCTCAGTTGGACAGGAATTTTTCCCCTCACTTGCCCCACGTATTGTATAATTCAGGCTGTTTCAAAATCAGAGTATTTTTGTCTCGTGGTTCTTCTAAGCAGTATCCTTAGTCTTGACCTTTTCAGTGAAGATACTTTGGAATGCTTAAAGTATTGAACAAGACTTTTTGGACAAAAGTTCTGAGTTTACGATTCTCAGTGCAGGGAGGCTGGGAACAATCCTTACCTCTCATTGCAATGATCCCAGCCTCATCTTTGGTACTCTGAGACCAAAAAGAAAGTTGTTTCTCTATATATGTGGGTTCTGGGGAGCTATGGATGACGGAATAAGGGGAGAAGAAGGGGGATTCTTTTGTTTTCTGTGCAAAAAGTATGCAATTAGAAAAAAAAAGTTCTTATTTCTTTCTCTCTCTGCCTTCATCTCAGCTCGCATAAACACATCCTTTATTGTACTGGTAGTATTTATTGAGTATTTATAATGATTAGGAAAAAGAGTAAATCTCTCACAACAGCAAGACACTTATCTTCAGTGTAGCCACAGAGGAATGAATATGGCTTGGCTTATGTGGAATTAACCCTGGGGTTTGGTTTTCAGTTAAGAAAATGAGGCAGAAGGAAGTGTTAACCAAGACCTTCCAAGGCCCAGCTATTGTCTGTAGGACTCCGACCAGCCACGTTTACATGTTTGAGAATGGCGGTGGGGACTCAGGGGATTCCTCTGAGGAAGAGTCCCACCGTGTGGCTCTGCGGCCCCGGAGCAAGGAGCGCCAGAAGAAGGGTGCCCACCACCCTCACCAGCCAGGAGCAGGGGACGTGGTGCTGCTGCAGAGGGAGCTGGCCCAAGAGGACAGCCTCAACAAGCTCGCTCTTCAATACGGCTGCAAAGTAAGAAATCCCACAGGTGAAGGTGCTGCCCGGCTCCTGTGTGTTTAGAGGAACAGAGGAACTCACTGAAGGGTGGGGGCCCTTGCTATCCCTTCCTGACCCCCCAAGGTGGTTGGGAAAGGCCTGTTGTAGCAGTAAAGGACTCTCCTGTCTAGCCAGAGATGGAAGGCAGATGGAAGTACTTTCAGTTCTGAATGCTGGGGTCATAAAGAGGGTTAGGAATCTCAGCTGATGGGGCAGTTCCCTCTCTGCAGAGTACTTCTACTCTTCTCTGTCCCTCCAAACTGAAATTCTGAAACGTTTTGTTTTTCTTTTGAGCACATTTTTTTTAATACCTAATGAGGCCAGAGATGCCAGGCAGAATTTATCCAAGATTTCTTTGGTATGCTTGCTTTTTTGGCTACTTTTCTTTTTATGACCCTTTCTTGGTGGTTGTAGCTTATTTGATTGGTAGTTTTACCTTCTCTCTTTTAGAAGTGCATGATCTAACCTTTGTATGCTATGTATCTATATAACCCTGTTTTTCTCTTTAATTATGTTTTTAGCATTCAGAGTGATTAACAATGGCAAAGTAAGTAGGAAAGTGTTTATAGAATTGTTGCATTCTCACCTAGATTGAAACTATTTCATTTTACTTACACTGTGCTACAACTTTCTCTGGCCTTCTCTAAGGCTATGTGAGCTACTTATGTAAAAAATCTTTTCCTCTTTAAAGTGTCTGTCATTTATCTAACAAGATCCAACTGGCTAAACATGTTATGTGGGGTGGTGGTGTGTTTCCCAGGGAAATACGCAGGCTGGTCTCCAGGGACACATAGTAGTCTGTAAATTGTACTGAGATTAGTATTTCACTCTTATCGTCAGCTTCTGTAGGCATGCTACATGGTTTATGGAGAAGGGGCTGAAAATGAAATCCTCCCCTTGGTAGGGACCTGAATAGATGCAGTGGGCTTCTTGGAATGATGTTTAAAAAATCCAGAAAGACTATATAATGCATCCAATAAGTGATCAGTTTTCCTATTTGAAGTAAATAAATTTGATGATAGTTTATCAGGGGCAAAGACAAAAAGGTCTCAAGCACCTTATGCTTTAGTTTCAGAACATAATAAATTAAAAATGTCCCCCACCCCAATTCAATTAAATGATAAAAGCAGTAGCTAAAGAATCAAAATAGTGGCGATGATTGATTTGAATAGGGTTTATGACTATATTTACACTCTAGTTTAAGTGGACTTATGAGTTAAAACCTTGGAGTCCATTTCTGATGCCTTCAGGAAGTTTGTAAGCAGTAACTGGAGGGAGGGTTTATCTTTGATTTCATTTCCTTCCATTTCTTAAATCTTAAGATTTGATTATAAGAGGAGTTTATGAACTTCATGTTACTTTATAAAACTTGCAGTGGTGTTCCTTTCTTCTCAAGACCTAATATTGGAATAGAAGATTGCAGTCTGTAGTTTCCAGTGTGATTCATGATTCCTTACATGTTTCTAATTGTCGTAAGAACTGTTGTGAAATCCTCAAAGTGAATTAACTCTAGGTCGCTTTTATTTAAAAAATGTTTATGTGCCATACAATACTTCTGGGAAAGAAAATTTGGTAGAATCATGAGGACACACCTCTTTCTTAAAATGTTACAGGTAAACTAGGTTCTGAGTGTCTGTAGAGCTGGCTGAGGCTTTGTGTTTGCTGAATGCTAATGTCTACTGCAGCTGCTGAATTGGATTCTAATGCAGGAGAGAAATTAGCCATTTGGAGGCACTGTTGCCTCAAAAGTTAAGAGTGGAAACGGCAACAGTGTGCTTTTTAGTACCATGATGTGTTTCATCTAAAAGCATTTTGTTGCAGTTGCACTTTAAACAAACAAAAATGTCTTTTCCAAAACTATTTTAAATTGTCCAAACTTATAAATCTATAGGAAAATTTGATGATTAAGCTACACATTAAGGCTCAGTTAAAGCCAAAAAAACCAGTTATTCAGCCTAAACTAATTTTGTGTGTAGGTGCAGTTTTCTGGTGTTCATCAGATTCTTAAGCAGGGTGGGCTTGGACCATCACCCAGAAAGGTTTGGAGCCACTTTTTGGATCTTAGTTTTAAGGAGCTTTACATATTTCGTGATGTTTGTCTTCATGGCTTCCCTAGGTTGCAGATATCAAGAAAGTCAACAACTTCATCAGAGAACAAGACTTATATGCTTTGAAATCTATTAAGATTCCAGTGAAAAACCACGGGATCCTAACAGAGACCCACAAAGAACTCAGACCCCTTCCAAGTCCATCCTCAGAGACCAGAGTGACCTTCGAGGAGCAGCCAGACTCAGACAGAGCAGCTGTAGGTGCTGGTGCCCCATCCAGCCAACTGACGGATTTCTTTAAGGGCATTGACCAGAATATTGAGCGTGCAGTGCAGTCAGAAATCTTTTTGAGTGAAAGTTACTGCGTAGAGACCTCCAGTCAGCCGCTACTTCCAGCTCCTCTGAAGACGCCTACAACTGGTGCAGACGGTGGAATTCAGTGGTGGAATGCTGTTTTTATCATGCTTCTAATTGGAATTGTTTTACCAGTGTTTTATTTGGTCTATTTTAAAATACAAGCTACTGATGAGATCCCTAATAGCTTGAACACAACTGTTGTCACCAATGGCTCAATGGCACTAAATGTAGTTCCAGGGCAAACCCCCAAATTAGCGATTCCAGTGCCAGCCATCCCCTCTTCAGACAGCCAGTTCAGTCAAACCAACCAGGCAGGGAACTAGCTATTGTTGTTTCTAAAATCAGCCCATCTTTAGCGGTTGGGCTTGTGATGTGCATCAGCTGACATTAGCCATATCTTAGGGTGCTGTGTTTTCTTTTCTGTGACATACGGACGCGTTTCAGAAGCCACTGTTGTATTCTTGATACCACCATGGGGAATAGCCTTGCCTACTCCAAGGCTGCGGGAGCCAAAACACCAGTGCCCTCAGCCTCCTACATTCAGAGAGCTGTGGCAAGAGAGACATTTACATGTGACAGCTACCATTTCTTGAAGGCATTTAGTGGTTTGGCCATGACTGTCTTCACAGTAGCACTGTGTGGGCCCCCAAGTTGGACGTGCTTGGAGGGGGAGGAATGGCCTCGTCCAGTGGACCTGCAATATGGAAGCCCCTGGGGTTGGCTTTGGTCGCCTGGCTGCTTGCAGTGCCCCTCACCTGCTATGAGGGGTGTTTGGCTCTGACAAATGGTGTTCTCTGTCTCTCTGGCAAAGGTGCTGTGCAATAGTGGTGGAATGTCACTCTGTTTTAGAGTGTGCCGGATTATAATTCTTATAAGCCCTACTTCCTGTTTGCCCCACCAATTAGCCTTTTTGAGACAGTGTCACATCTAGAATCAAAAAAGCCCTAAATCCAAATTGTTATGGTATTGAGTAGCAGCAGTTTTGTTCCTTGTACTTTTAGAGCTACTTAGTTTGACACACAGGCATGTTTTAAGCTGCTCCGTGGTACACCTCCTGGCCAGAACCTTTGGGGGCCATGGCCCAGTTTCACCTGAGGTGCATCCCCACAGCAATCGCTAACTGGATTTTCCAAGTCAGCGTTCGTGGAAGGAGCTCTTGCTGGCCAGTGTCTGGAGCCGAGTAGGTGTAGAGAAGGATGAGTGTCTATCACCAGGGTCCCAACATGTGACACTTCTAAGGTCTTAAGGCCAGTCACCAGTCCAATGTTGCCTAGAGCAGCAGCCCTTGTGTGTGCCTGGAAGAGTAGTGTAGGGAGAATGGGTGTGCTTCCTGCTGTTTCCCTGACTCCATTCTTAGGAATTCTAGAGCCATCATACAAGAATGTGGCTCAGTCATTTTTCTTGGGGTAAATAACACTTTATATACAATGTAGCTCATAATGTTAAAAGTCCAAACACGTAGTGGAGGGCCTACAGGTGACCTTTGCTGTGAAAGGCTATAGAAAGAGGGGCCTGAAACCCGTCGGCCTGTGATTTGCCTGTCTCCTCCTGTGACAAGGCAACAGTGGTACTAAGTGCAGAGGCTTAGGGGAGCATGGGTTGGCCTCTGAGGCGCTGCGGGTGGAGCAGGAGTAGATGGGGTGAGGGTGAGAGGCTGCTTTGGCAGGAGCCCATCTTGATCCCATGGAGGAGTGGAAATAGGCTGAGGTGGCTGGTGGTTCAGCGTCCGAGAGGTCTATCTCTAGGGAGGAAAACACACTACAAGCGCTAAGCTTTAGGCATGGTTTATGGCATTTGATACACTAGGCCTAGAGATAGATTGGAAAGATCTCATCATGTAAGAGGATAGCAGTGTGGCAGAAGAGTACTTGAGATGCATCCAATTTTTTTCCCAGTTTCTTTCTTTTGTGTGAAAAAATATTTGCCCTGGAGTCAATTAGCAAATTTAAATTATCTTCAAAGTTAAATGTTTTATTCAAAACCAAAATGGTCTTCAGGATAAAATAAACTTGTGAACCTTTGCTACAGGAAATGTTTTGATCATGTGAATGCTTCTCCAGTCAAATGTTTGTGCTTACTGTGCCCCTAAAGGCCACAGGTTTCTCTAACATTTGTCACCATTAACTTCACCAGGCAGGGCTCAGAGTCCCATGGAAAAATGACTTTTGCCAGGTGAAGAATGAATATCTGTATACTTTTTTCAAATGGAATAAAGTAATTTCTTCTGTGAAGGAAAATTGATTCTTTTTAATTTGGAGGTTGGTAATTGAGAATTAAAAGATATGGGACAATGTTAGAGAAGATGGAGGTGTCAGGTGTCTGTGTCCCAGAGGTGAGGCCCGCTCAGGGCTCGTGCCCAAGGTTACTCCAGCAGGTGAACAGAAAGTGGTAACCAGCACAGTCTTGCTGATTGGTCTGCATAACATGCTTTAAAATGGCTGTATTAGGTATACATAAGACATACTGTGAAGCTCATTTTCTACATATTTGACTACATTTTTTTTTTTTGTTTTTTGGTGAGGAAGTTTGGCCCTGAGCTAACATCTGCTCCCAATCTTCCTCTTTTTTTAGCTTGAGGAAGATTGTCCCTGAGCTAACATCTGTGCCAATCTTCATCTATTTTTTGTATGTGGGACGCTGCCCCAGCATGGCTTGATGAGCAGTGTATAGGTCTGCGCCAGGGATCCGAACCCATGAACCCCAGGCCACTGAAGCGGAGCATGTGAACTTAACCACTATGCCACTGGGCTGGCCCTTTGACTACATTTTCAATGTCTTTTGGGAGTTAATATTGTAAAGAAATAATTAGATTTGTTAGTCTTTAGTCCTTTTGGTTGAACTATAGTGCTTAATGTTGTGGAAGCCTAGGGAATCTCTGTTGTCAGGCAGATGATGCTCCTGTTTTACTCTGGGGAGAGAAGGCTGCAGGGACTAAGCAGAGACCCAGAACAGGACTGCCCAGTTGAGGCCACAACACAGCCCCCGCACTGCCCCCACCCCCCCGCCAGGAAGGTAGTTCTTTATACTGCCTCTGCGTTAATTGTGAAGACTGCCTGGGGTTGAAAGAAAATGATATGGGCCCTGAAATGATGGCTTATAGAGGGGATTTTAACATTTTTCTTTTTTTTTCCAGTTTTATTGAGAAATAATTGACATACAACACTGTATAAGTGTAAGTCGTACGCATGATGATTTGACTTGTATACGTTGTGAAATGATTACCACAGTAAGTTTAGTTAATGTCCATCATTCCATATAGATACAAAAAAAAGAGAGAAAAAGAAAACGTTTTTTCCTTGTGATGAGAACTCTTAGATTTACTCTCTTAACAACTTTCATATATACTATACAGCAGTGTTAACTATAGTCATTATGTTGTACATTACGTCCCTAGTACTTATTCATCTTATAACTAGAAGTTTCTTTCTTTTGACTACCTTCTTCCAATTCCCCCTCCCCCCACTCCTTTCCTCTGGTAACCATAAATTTGATCTTTCTATGAGTTTGCTTTTTTCTTTTTTTTTAGATTCCACATATAAGTGCGATCATACAGTATTTGTTTTTCTCTGAATGACTTATTTTACTTAGCATAATGCCCTCAAAGTCCATCCATGTTTTCCCAAATGACAGAATTTCCTTCTTTTTTATGGCTGAATAATATTCCATTGTGTGTGTATATGTGTGTGTGTTTATGGTTGTGTGCATATGTCTGTATATCACAACTTCTTATCCATTCGTTTGTCGATGAACACTTAGGTTATTTCCATGTGTTGGCTATTGTAAAGAATGCTGCTGTGAACGTGGGGCTGCAGATATCTCTTCAACATAGTGTTTTTGTTTCCTTTGGATATATTCTTAGAAGTAGAATTGCTGGATCATATGGTAGTTCTATTTTTAATTTTATGAGGAAACTCCATATTGTTTTCCATAGTGGTTGTACCAATTTACAGGCATACCTTGTAGACACTGCGGGTATGGTTCCAGACCACTGCAATAAAGCGACTATTGCAGTAAAGCAAGTTACACGAATTTTTTGGTTTCCCGGTGCATAGAAAAGTTATGTTTATATTATACTGTAGTCTATTAAGTGTACAATAAGATTATGTCTTAAAAAACAATGTACATACCTTAATTAAAAAATACTTTATTGCTAAAAAATGCTAACCAGCATCTGAGCCTTCAACAAGTCATAATCTTTTTGCTGGTGGAGAGTCTTGACTTGATGTTGATGGCTGGTGACTGATCACAGTGGTAGTTGCTGAAGGTTGGGGTGGCAATTTCTTAAAATAAGACAATGAAGTTTGCCCCATCAATTGACTCTACTTTTCAGGAACAATTTCTCTGTAGCATGTGATGCTGTTTGATAGCATTTTACCCACAGTAGAAATTCTTTCAAAATTGGAGTGAGTCTTCTCAAACCCTGCTGCTGCTGTATCAACTAAGTTTATGGAATATTTTAAATCCTTTGTTGTTATTTCAACAGTCTTCACAGCATCTTCACCAGGAGTAGGTTCCATCTCAAGAAACCACTTTCTTTGCTCATCCATAAGAAGCAATTCCTCATGTGTTAAAGTTTTATCATGAGATAGCAGCAATTCAGTCACATCTTTAGGCTCCACTTTTAATTCTAGTTTTCTTACTATTTCTACACATATGCAGTTACTTCCTCCACTGAAGTCTTGAACCCCTTAGAGTCATCCAAGAGGGTTGGAATCAGTTACGATAGTAACATTAAAGATCACTGGTCACAGGACACCATAACAAATATAAAAATAATGCAAAAGTTTGAAATATTGTGAGAATTACCAAAATGTGACACAGAGACACAAAGTAAGCAAATGCGGTTGAAAAAATGCTTCCAATAGATTTGCTTGACCAGGGTTTCCACAAACCTTCAGTTTGTAAAAAATGCAGTATCTGTGAAGCACAATAAAGCAAAGTGCGATATAATGAGGTATGCCTGTACAATCCCACCAATGGTACACAAGGGTGCACTCTTCTCCACATCATCACCAGCATTTGGTACCTCTTGTCTTTTTGATGATTGCCATTCTCACAAATGTGAGGGGATATCTCATTGTGGTTTTGATTTGCATTTCCCTAATGATTAGTTATGGTCAGCACCTTTTCATGTACCTGTTGGCCTTTCATATAACTTCTCTAGAAAAATATCTGTTCAGGTCCTTTGCCCATTTTATAATTGGATTACTATATATATATTTTTTTTTGCTATTAAGCTGTATGATTTCTTATATATTTTGGATATTAACCCCTTATCAGATATATGGTTTGCAAATATTTTTTCCCATTCCATAGGTTGTCTTTTCATTTTGTTGATTGTTTCTTTTGCTGTGCAGAAGCTTTAGTTTGATGTAGTCCCACTTGCTTATTTTTTATTTTATCTTTGTGCTTTAGGTGTCATATCCAAAAAAATCATCACCCAGACCAATGTCAAGGAGCTTACTGTCATATGTTTTCTTCCAGTTTTATGGTTTTTAGTCTTACATTCAAGTCTTTAATCCATTTTGAGTTAATTTTTGTGAGTGGTGTAAGATAAGGGTCTACTTTCATTCTTTTACACAAAAATATCTAATTTTCGCATCACCATTTATTGAAGAGACTCTCTTTTCCCCTTTGAGTATTCTCAGCTCCCTTGTCAAATATTACTTGACCATATATGTGTGGGCTTATTCTAGGCTCTTGATTCTGTGGCATTGGTCTGTGTCTGTTTCAATGCAATTACTACACTGTTTTGATTACCATAGCTTTATAATATAGATTGAAATCAGGAAGTGCGATGCCTCCCACTCTGTGCTTCTTTCTCAGGATTGCTTTGGCTATTCAGTCTTTTGTGCTTCCATATGAATTGTAGGATTGTTTTTTCTACTTCTGTAAAAAATGCCATTGGAATCTTGATACAGATAGCATTGAATCTATAGGTGGCTTTCAGTAATATGGACATTTTAACAATGTTATAATAATGTTCCAATCCATGAACGTGGGATACCTTTCCATTTATTTGTATCTTCTTCAATTTCTTTCATCAATGTCTTGTTGTTTTCAATGTAGAGATCTTTCCCCTCCTTGGTTAAATTTATTTCTAAATATGTTACTGTTTTTGTTGCTATTGTCAATGGGATTATTTTCTTTATTTCTTTTTCAGATAATTTATTATTAATGTATAGAAACACTATTGATGTGTGTTAATTTTGTATCCTGGAACTTTACTGAATTCATTAGTTAGATCTAACAGTTTTTTGGTGAAGTCTTTAGGATTTTGTATATATAAAATCATGTTATCTGCAAATAAGGATAATAGAGACAATTTTACTTCTTCTTTACCAATTCTGATGCTTTTTACTTCTTTTCCTGTGTTTTTTAACTTTTAAACTAGAGTTATAAGTGAATTCCACACCACCATTACCATATTATAGAATCTAACTTTGACTATGTATTTATCATTACCAATGAGTTTTAGGCTACCTTCTTATGTTTTTATGCTGTTAATTAGCATCCTTTTACTTCCACTCAAAGAATTCCCTTTAGCATTTCTTGTAAGACAGGTCTAGTAGGGATGAACTCCCTCAGCTTTTGTTTTTTCAGGAAAGTCTTTATTTCTCCTTCATTTCTGAAGGACATCTTTGCTGGATATAGAATTCTTGGCTGATAGTTTTTCTATTTCAATATTTTGACTATATCGTCTCTGACCTGAAAAGTTTCTGTTGAGAAATCTGCTGATAGTCTTATGTAGGTTCCCTTGTATGTAACTTCTCTCTTTTCTCTTGCTGCTTTCAAAATTCTTTTTTTATCTTTGACTTTGGACAATTTAATTATAATGTGTCTTGTGTAGCCCTATTCAGATTCAACCTATTTGGGGTCCTTTTGGCCTCTTGGATCTGGAAATCCATTTCTCTCCCCAGGTTTAGGAAGTTTTCAGCCACTATTGCTTTAAATATACTTTCTTTCCCTTTCTCTTTCTCTTCTCCTTCTGGAATTCCCATAATGCTGATACTGTTTCTTTTGAGTATGTCCCATTA